ACAACAATCACGGGTGAGCAAGTAAGCCAGAAAAAGATTAGAAGATATAGAATGACAAGATTAGGTTGAGATAGCCCAAGTTCCCATGCAAGACTTGAGTCTGGTTTGTCCTCGCCTTGCTTAACTGATAGCCAGATTCTCCATCTCAGCGACAACGTCATCCGTCTTTGATTTCGTCTCAGCTGGGATGATTTCGGAGGGCTCGACCAGCTTTTCCATTTCAGGTTCCGTTGGAAGTTCGCTCGCCGAGTTTTCCTTTGCCTCAACAGGGGCAGGTTTACTGGTATCCTCTGCTGCAGCTTCGACTGTCTCCGGCACGTCTGTAACAGAGACGAGAGTAGCCACTTCCTCAGTCTTCGATTGATCCACATCTGCGGATTGCTCGGCAATTGTTTCCAAGGGCTGTTCAGCTGGTTCATCAACCTTGGCCGACGCGGTCTCTTCAAGCGGCGCATCCGAGGTTGAAGCATCGACAGGCTCAATGGAGGCATCCGCGGACTCCTTCCCAATATCAGCGGTCGCTGTGGAGGGCTCCTCGACAGGCTTCTCAACATCTTCCGAGACTTGCTTGGGCGCTTGGTCATAGGCATTAGCCTCAGGCTTTACTTCTTGCTCTTCCGAGGCCTCTTTCAATGCTGGAGCAGCTTGTAACTCCTTTTTAGAATCTGGTGGGACGGAAGAAGTAGGTAGCGCCTTGTCTCTCTTATTCTTCTCTGACTCGGTCTTCTCTGTCGGCGGCCGAGCTGCTCGGAGATCGGTCTTGGAGGCGGCTGTTCTTGGGGCTCTGGCAGGCTTGGAAGTTCGAGGAGGGCTTTTGACTTCGACTTTGTCATGTACCTTGCTGGCAGAACTTGCGGTAGGACGCATCATTCTAGCGAGGAAGCTATCATCGACAGGCTTGGCGCTTGAGTTGCTAACCCGAGAATGTGGGCGGTCAGTACCTGAATGGGCAGGGAGAGACGGGCGAGATGCTTGCTTGCGAACACTGGCAGCAGAGGGTGTCGTTGCCCGCGATTGATTCGTATTGACCGCGCTCTTCAGGGTGGATGGCTTCCGGGTCAGGCCGGGGCCGGCCCCTCCTTTGGCGGTAGAGGCCAGAGAAGAAGTCGTCTTCGATGGTGGTAGGCGAGATGACCTGGCCGGTGATTTGGGGCGGCTATTCCTGTCATCGGTCGTAGCTGGCTTGGTGGAGTCACGCGCGGGTATAGGAGCACGGACAGGGCGGGTGGCAGTCTTGGCTGTAGTATTCAAAGATGCCCGACTCTGCTTGTGGGTTGCAGTACGAGTAGCTGCAGCGTGGTCATCCTTCGTCGCGGTTGCCTTGGTAGAGTGCGCCGGTCTAGAGGTCCTTTCGGTGCTCGGTTTAGCTGGAGAGGTTGGTGTGCGCGGATTGGCTGTCGATCTTGGGGCAGTCGTAGATGGTGATTTGGTAGCAGAGCTAGTCTTGCCAACGTGGACGTTCGAAGGTCGCTTGGTAACTGCTTTCATCGGCTTCTGCGCTGACTTAGCTGGGGGTGTTTCCGTTGCAGTATGTGGTGCCGACGCCGTCTTCTCCGTCTGGGAGACATCACCAGTCCTGGGTTGGGTTACTGTTTGCGCCTTAATCAGCGGTTCGGTCGAAGAATTCTTTGGAGGCTGATCGACAAGAGGCTTTTCGGCTGCATTGGAACCGTTACTCGGAGAAGACGAGGAGGCCGAGCTCTTTAAAACCGCTTCGAAGTCTTCCGAGTTGAGACTTCTCTCTCTAGATGGAGGCGCCGCACCGTCGATAGGACTATTTGGGCTCCTGAGCCCCGAGACTGGACTTCCCTGAGATGTTCTATCCACAGATATGAAACTTGCGCGGACCTTTGAAAGCGGACGTGAGGTTCCTGTGTGATCCGACCCTATCGGCGATCGACCACGCGGAGGCGGAGAGGCGGTGCTGTTTTGATTATTATTCTCGAATTTGGCCAGCAAGCTTCGCACACCAGGGTGCGCCCCTTTGTCCGACATGGTGTTGTAGAGCGACGAGAAGTCGAAGCGCGGAGACCTAAATCAGAGAGACATAGACCAGACCAACGCGACGGTAGGAATTGAAACTCGATGCCTTGAGCTCGGTGACAACAATGGTGGGATATCGACAAGAAGGTTCGATGAGAGATGAATTTCAGCCTTGTAGGGCTTTGCGAAAAGGCCAGATGGCAACGAGTTCTGAAACGGAGGTTGGAGGAGGGGGCGGGTGGACGTGATATAAACAGACTTCACGGGAGCCGGTTTTGAGGGGATAGGACTCTGAGAGGAACGGGTTGTCAATGACTTGAAGACAGTTCCAGATGTCTATGTTCTAACATGTTAATGATAGTTGATAGATGAGCGAGCTCAGAATGAGATCAATCATGAATGGTAATAAAAGAAAAGGAGAGTCAGAGTCAGAGGAGGTCGCCGGGGGAAGAGGATGCGGGCATGGGAAGCCTGAGGCAGCAGTTTCAGGGGGCGGATCCGCGGCTTCAACTTAAGTAATTACAGTCCTTTCCTGTGACATTTTATTATTAATTCAAGATTAAGGACAGATTGAGCACTACTTTTTAGTGTCAAAGAAAAAATAAGTCAATGGTCATGACCATGACTCCATGAAGGCATCAACAAGGGACGATAGTTCCAGCCACTATTGAATCGGCCGCTATGTTGTTTACTCCCTGCCTTAAAGAGCGAACCGATCTATGGTTGAACGCGGCCAAATGGCGTCATTATCCGTTCTGTGTCAGGTCTTATTTCTGAGACATTAGAGAGGTAGATACCTCTCTAGGTATTGCTACATGCGTTGTCTCTGCACAGATGCAGCTGCTCTACAAACGACGAAGCTGAAACTGACATTCTAATGTCTTTGGTTTCTACAGAAGGATGTTGCAATGCCTCAAGTCTCAATGGCAGGCAGATCTTCAGCGGCATGTCGCAAGTGTCAGATGATCTACTCAGTAAGGGCACTACATATATATCTCCCTGAACATTATCTAGCCTCTATCTACTCCAGCCTCGCCATATCTACTCGTCTAAAAGGTCTACCTGGAAAATAGCAATCATAGTGTTGAGTCTTAGGACAATGGCAGGAAGATGGCAAATTGCTGAATCAATGATGGCATCACTGTATTCAGAAACAGGGAGATCACCCATTTTCTCAGCTTGCATATGAGAAGCATACCTCCAGGGAAATTTTCTGAACTCTTAGTATTATTTCCGGTAAGCATCAGACTGGTATACACACGGAGACAAGGGCAGCTAGCTTCCTTTGGAGGAAGCTCGACTTGGATCCTTGTGTGTTCTGACGGTGTCATGTCGCCTGCCAGCTTCTGAAAGCCGCGTCGCGGTCAGAATCAGGTCTGCCACAAAAGCCTCTGCTACCGTTCTACGTCTTATCATAGAATTGATGTCTTAGCTCCGAAGAAAACGATGCTGTGTTTGAATAGCTGGCATGGTATCCATTTCCCCGGTTATAGTCCGCGGGTCAACATTCTTCCCGCGGTCGCATACTAGTCATACTAATCCCAGATTCCGCTCCGACTACGGGCTCCGTTAAACGGAACTCTTTTTCTACTGGGAAAAAGAGCAGTCACACAACACCAGAATCTCACAATGGCGGCTGCTAGGACTCTTCGCATAGGTCAATTGAATCCTCCTTGAGCTTCAAAATGTCCTTTATGCAACAACTGACGCCTCGCTTCATTAGGTCTCATTCCCGGCGACGGTATCGGACGGGAGGTCATTCCGGTATGTCGCTTCTGTGGTACAGCAGGGGAAATTCTGACTCACTCAATTCTGAACAGGCCGGCAGACGGGTGTTGGAGTCGCTCCCAGCTTCTCTGAACCTCAAGTTTAGCTTCGTCGACCTCGATGCTGGTTTCGACACCTTCAAGCGGACAGGTACCGCTCTGCCCGACAAGACCGTCGACACGCTGAAGAAGGAGTGTGACGGTGCTCTGTTCGGAGCTGTCAGGTCGGTTGTCCCTATGGCAGGAAACTTCAGATCTTCAGCCTGATAGTCTTTGAATAGCTCCCCCAGCACCAAGGTCGCCGGCTACTCCTCCCCCATTGTCGCTCTCCGCAAGAAGCTGGACCTCTATGCCAATGTGCGTCCTGTCAAGACTACCGCCGGCAGCGGCGGCAAGCCCATTGACCTGGTCATTGTGCGCGAAAATACCGAGGATCTCTACGTGAAGGAAGAGACAACTAAAGATACCCCCAACGGCAAGGTTGCTGAGGCGATCAAGCGGATCTCCGAGCGTGCCTCATCCCGGATCTCCACCATTGCGGGAGAAATCGCGCTCCGCCGTCAGAAGATCCGTGATGCCGCTGGCAGCTCTGCTCTCCGCACCAAGCCCATGGTGACCATCACCCACAAGTCCAACGTCCTGTCGCAGACAGACGGTCTCTTCCGGGAAACCGCCCGCAAGGCTCTCGCCGCGGAGCGCTTTTCCTCTGTCGAGGTGGAGGAGCAGATTGTCGACTCCATGGTCTACAAGCTCTTCCGTCAGCCCGAGTACTACGACGTGATTGTTGCCCCTAACCTGTACGGCGACATTCTGTCCGACGGTGCTGCTGCTCTGGTTGGCAGCTTGGGTCTCGTGCCCAGCGCCAACGTCGGTGATGGTTTCGCTATTGGCGAGCCCTGCCACGGCAGTGCTCCCGACATCGAGGGCAAGGGCATCGCCAACCCCATCGCTACTCTGCGCAGCGTCGCTCTCATGCTCGAGTTTCTGGGTGAGGAGCAGGCCGCTGCCAAGATTTATGGTGCCGTTGACGCCAATCTCGACGAGGGCAAGTTCCTTTCTCCTGATATGGGTGGAAAGGCCACTACCCAGGAGGTTCTGGACGATGTGCTCAAGAGGCTGTAAATGGCGGAGGCTTTGATCGGAACAATGTATGTGTAGAATTTAACCACCAAAAGTCTATTCTTTAGCGGTTTAGTATACATGACTTTTGGCCCAACACAAGAGCAGACAATATGCTACTAGTACAGGTCATTACTCTACATCCCCCGCTGACGGTTCCGGCTCCCATTCAAACTTGCCTAGTTTTCCCTCATTCTCCCCATGCTTCTCCGTGCTCTCCTGGATCTCCTGCTTAGAGCGCTCCTTGACCTCCGGCTCTTTCTCCGTATCCAGCAAGATGAGCGTGAACAGCACAACAAAATAAACCTCCCCCGTCTCCCTATTCTTCAAAACATACCGCAGGTCATGGTTCTTCTCGTCAATGAACTTGGTCGCATGGACCGTCAACCCAGGAAGCCGCAGCGAGAAATCTAACCCATCGTCAGCCCAGCCCCCCATCTGCAAACCAAGGTAAACGAGGGTAGACCAACCATTAAAAACGAGATACGGATTCCCAAAATCCGCCGAATACACCCTCCCCGGCTCAAACACAAACTTCTTTCTCTCCTCCTCATTCTGGAACATCTTGCGCCGCTCCGCTACACCCTCGGGAATGCCCCACTGCGCGCGCTCCTCCACGCCCGACCCATCAGCCCCCTCCTCAACAACCACATCATGCACAGTCGGCACCTCATCATTCTTCGCGATCGTCTCCCCAATCCGGAACTGGTTCAGCGCGGCCACGGCGGGACTATACAGGTGCGGTTTATCCGCGTACGCGTCGCCGTCCATGGCCGGGTCGATGGTCCATTTGACGAGTTTCAGCGCGGCGTTGAAGCCCGGTGGAAGGCGGTCGCGGATGGGTCTGTCGAAGTCATTGCCGAAGATCAGGTCGTTGCCGTTGACGGGTTTCTTGAAGACGATGGCGAAGGAAATGGAGTATTGGTCGTTTTGGTGGAGGGGGTGCGAGAAGTAGGGGTGTGTTTCGGGAGAGTCGTCCGGGTAGCCTTGTTTCCTGATCGTGAGCTTCTTTTTCCCAGGCGCCGCGGAGAGATGGGGGTCGTGCTCACCGGTGTAGTTCTGGATCCGAACGCAGAGACTCACTGTCGCAAGGTCATTCTCGATTCGTAGTGTCTGGTCCCTGTTGACAGGTACGATCTTGTGGCTATCTGGGTTGTACTCCGCTCCTGCTGTGACCTTGAGTCGGTACTTGTGAGCTTGGGTCCCGCCAAACATCTTGAATCTTCAATTGCTTCTTCCCTATGAATCCTGGTATACGTAAAAGAACAGATGCACTGGTATTAGAACTCGAAGCACTTTATATGGCTCTACAAATCCCAGGTGCATGATCGTCCTTGATATTCTTGGTTCTATCACAGCTAGTTGTTCTTGATGAACGCCTACCGACGTCATCCGCTGCACGAAATTCCGCGATAAGCTTGACCTCCAGACCTTATCTATTTTTACCCGCAAGCTACCATATCTACTACCACTACTCCGTACTAGGTACGCAGGCTGATATGGGCGGCATCGACCAAGATGGTTTATACTTGCAAGATATATCTAAGTTCCCTATCGAACCAATAATTTCAATGATGTAGCCAATCATTTAGCGTACACAAAGCCATTCTAATCAATCCAGAACGGTGATAGAATCACGATAGCAAGAGTCAGCAAAAGAACATATGATGATACAAACGAAACGACGAGCATCTCAGCACTCATAGTTCGGCTGGATCGGACGGCAGAAGATTGACGCCCATCGGGAGATCAGCGCCGTCCTCGACTTCGTTTATAATGTCTTCTTCGGTCAAAATGCCAATGCCACTATCAAGCCGCCTTCTATTCTTACCCCTTCCAACCTCTACATCAACGAACCTGGTCATACTGACTGGAGTAATCGGCTCGCTTGGAAGAGGAATGCCGTCTGATTGAAGATCATCTGACTTCATTTCCCAATTCGCGGCACGGATCTTCGCCTTTCGTCGCTCTGAATTGACGGTTTCTTTCATGAAAGCAAATGACCGGGCTTGATGCGCAGCCCATCTGTCCAGCAGGTTGTCCCTGGCCTCCATTTCTTGTTGCAGTTGCTCCTGCAGCCCTATGTTGCTTCGATGCAGCTTTTCTGCTTCTGACTTGGCAGCCTCAAGCGCGGTGGTGAGCTCCGAGACCCGGACATTCAAAAGACCGACCTCATTTTCATGATGTTCGACCTGCTCGGCTATCTTTTGTTCTAAGCTTTCGATAGCTTCCTGTCGCTCTTTTTCAATCGACTCCACCTCCGCAGTAAGGTCGCACACGCGGATCTGATTCATCTCCACTGTCCCTTCGAGTTGACGAATCCGTTCTTCCCGCTCAGCAACAGCAGACTCGGCCGCAGAACGTGACCCTTTCTCCTGAGCCAATCTCTCCTCAAGTTGGGACACTTGCTGGCTGTGCTGCTCTTGGGAGGTGGTCTTATCAGCCTCAAGTTGATTCACAAGGATCTCGAGCCCTTTGACCTCTTCACAATATCTACTAAGTGCTGCATTCAACCTGTCAATGCTAACGACCTGTTCTTCTCCTTCGCGTTCAAGCTCCTGCATTCGCATTCTCGTATGCAGCATATCGCTGGCAGAAGCCGCCCTTGACTCTTCCAGATCCTGAATCTTCTGTGTTGCGGCCTCGTATCGAGTCAAAAGGGTATCGAATTGGCCACGCAGCGCCTTTTCACGACCTAACAAGCCATGGTGAGAATCACGCTCCTCTTCTAGGTCTTTTACCAACAGCTCTACCCGGTTGACCAGCGCGGCCAATGTGGCACTTCCATCTTCCAGGCCCACATTGGCTGTTTCTCCAGGCAGTGCACGCTCTAGACCGAGACGCGCCGAACGGAAGCAATGGCGCATCTCGGAAATGATGTCGTTCACGGTAGTTCCGGAAAACCCCATGCTTGAAAGTTCTTCCGCGGCTGAATTCAGAGCGCCGACAGCGTCTGAGGCACGATTGACGGCCTCGGTGAGCGCAGGTATAAGTTGAGCTAGGAAATCCGGAGGCGGAGAGGATCGGCGCAGGTGCTGGCCAAGAGAGGTGCCATCGAATGCAGAAGAGTGAGCACGAATTGCGTCGAATAGGTCCCTTTTCTCTTTCCTGGCAGTTTCCAGGTCGAGTGAGAGAGTGCGTATCTCGGCTTCTTGTTCCTCATCAGGCAAATGAGCTTGGGTACCAACGTCGGTCGCTGTATTATGATTGTGCAGGATTGAAAAATTGTCCGGGGATGGGAAATCACTTCCATCTAAGCCACGGATGACAGGCGAGTTGGACATAAGAATAGTATCCCCCTCAAATGCACTGTCATTGATGATGATTGTGTCAGTCGTGCTAAAAGAATCCTGATCATCTCCATTTTGGGTCGAGGAGAATGAGATCTCCTCCCTAAGACGACCGTTTTCGGCCTCCAGATGTTCGATTCTGCTCCGTGGCGACATGGCCGTGGGTACATCATCCATGTGCCTGAATTGACTCTCATTTTGGCTAGACCTCGCCGACTCCAGCTGCTGCTTCAACGCATCCCTTTCGCGGAGCAAGGACTGGATGGTCTTTTCGTAGTAAGCGGTCTCACGTTTCTCGCGCTCTATGTGGTTGATCTCATCACTTAGACCTATACGGCAAAGCCGTCGCTTCGTGCGAGGATCCAGGATTTGCCGCAAGGGCGTAAACTGCACCACTTGCTCCGAAGATGACGGGTCCTGCAGATAGCGGGACCGTGCTAGAGGAGCAGAGCGCCGCCGCATCTGTCGGCTCGGGCTGCGGGTAATACGGCCTGCATCTCCTTGATCCTCAAATGAGGTACGAAGCAGCGCGGGTGTTAAACCCGTAGAATAGTCGTGTTCCTGGACCCGAGGGCAGGGATCCGAGAAGCGGACCCTCTTGTTTGGTCTTTGGGGCGTCTTGCACGTTGATGAAGGTATCCCCTCGGGGCCCTTTCCAGAGGATACGAAATCCTCAGGCTCGCTTTTCCTCTTGCACGAGGAGGACGGGCGAGTCTCAGAGTTGGGAGTGGAGGTCTTCCGACTCTGGCTTCGAGTCACTCTGGCAGCCATTCTGCACGTGCAGGTCCAACAGTAAAATTATGTGAGGTAACCGGGACGTCTATCTGAAATATTGATGGATCTCTCCGAAAACAACGGAAGTGATGATAAAAAATGGTCAAAAGTGATGATACAGCTCACTTCGACTGCAGAAGGATGACTCCGGGGTATCTTTTCTCCCAATAGATAAACAAACAAACAACGCCTTCATCTGAGACAGCACTTGGAGCGAAGTATGAGACAAGTCAGCGAGGGGTTATATGTAACTCATCCAAAGATGGAAGGCACAGGCAGCAACCCTCACTGGTGCCTTCCCTACGCGTCGGTATGGATCCATACTTCCCAATCTAGAAGAAGTAAACAACCCGTCAGGTGACTTGGAGCCTAGAATTTGCCTCCTTATGTCCAATCCGAGTCATGTCTTAGCCGATCACTATGAGCACCCCCCTTGACCTTTAGGTGGAGTGATCGTGTCATGATTACCTTTAGTACTGTAGATTCGAGGCAACCATAGGTCACGAGTCGGAGTTTAGAAATCAGGAGAGTCCACGGTCCTGTATTGCTTATCGGCTTATCGAGTGCTGGTTATCTTATCGGCAACACCAACTGGCCAAGAGCACAGCGATCAACACCAGCGTCTCCCCGCACCAGTCCCGGTACAGGGAAAGCCTGAGAGCAGTGATATCGCATGCATCACGGTATTCCGAGAAGGAGAGCTATCCCTTGCTGATCTACCCCGGTAACGGCAGCTCTATATTGAAGCTATTCGTCTTGACCCCATCAATTACTCTCCCATCTCCTACACGAATGATGTCATTCGTCGGTTTCCTGAAATCTGAAATGCCATGCCTGCAGTATTGTTAGTTTATTACCCCTCGTCTATCTTTATCCCGGGACCATACTTGCTCCTATCATTCGTCCATACTTTCGTACGCATACGCGAATACATCCGCCACAGAGCAGTCGGAAAGCATCGCAGCTATGGATGGCGATATGAATACTTCCCCGGACTCGCTCCAGCTGGCGGGCGAGCTGCATGAACAGGAGCAGCAACACCACGATTCAGAAAGCTTAGCTACGGACTCTAAAATTGATGAATATCCGAAGTCACCTCTAGTACAGCTTCCGGCGGAACTGCTTCACCAAGTTCTGTCGTACTTGTCGGCGACGGATCTGGCCCAAGTGTCACAAACCTGCCATTCCCTCGCCGAACATGCTGCCAACGAGCTCCTGTGGGCGGATCTGGTCAATGCCTATCTGCCATTCAAGATCCATGACCCAAGCCCTTTCGGGTCGTTTCGAGACCTCTACGCGGCTTACCACCCGTGCTGGTTCATCCCACAGCATAAAATTTGGTTTTCGGATACGGAGCATACAGGCAACCTAATTCTGGCGCGATATGATCCAAGGAGAGGAGTCATTGAGGCATATCGGGTTATTGCCGAGAGACGTAGTCGTCCATTTCAAGTGTGGGAGTCGAATCCGGATGTCATGGTCCAACCCTTCGATCCCAAGGTTAGTCTTTGGTTGGATGACCCGGTTCTCCTCTTGAAGAACAACCATGGCCGTCTGCCGCGCTATTTGCACGGTGAGACTCGCATGCCAATGGCGATAGAAACACAACATGTCTTCAATGCTTTCTCTTTGTGTTCTTCGGAATCACCCCCGAACCTGCCAGTAGACCCTGACAAGCAGTGGCCCCCACCGACCATTCCTAGTGAACATCGTGTCTACCGGGATATGGAAGCACAGTGGTCGGATTGGGATCAGCATCCACGACGTCTAGCAAGTATGTCCGAACACGCGTTTCGGATTCGACGCTGGGCACATTTCCGGCTCGGGATGCCTATGTTTACCGCCGGCCGGAGCGAGACACTGTCGACCTATGCTACACTGGACCCCCGCTTATATACGCCGACGAAGGAAAAGCCGTATCAGGGCATCTGGGTTGGTGACTACTCTGCTCATGGGTGTGAGTTTCTGCTTTTCCTACAACGGGACCGGGACGACGAAGCGTCTGGCTCTTCTGGCGAACCAGAAGCTGGTCCCGACGAAATCGTTCAGAAGGGCAGTCTCGAGGCGATCAAGCTCACAGGAGACCCGAATGTTCCTCGGGGCCAGATGTCTTTTATTGCACCTGATATTGGCCCAGAAGGTGTGGTCCGC